CACTATTTTTTAATTTCTTGCAGATTAATTTATTGCTGAACGCTAAAATTCAAGACTGAATCTATAGTTAAATTTTTAATAGGATTGCTAAAATGCAACTAACGACAAAAATGTTGTTGTTTTTTTGAAACCAGAGCACTGACTAGGAATTCCCCCTGTTCCAAAAAAAAAATATTTTTGAAAGGAGTTCGAAACATTTATTTCTACTGCAATCTATTGTTTGTTTAGCGGTGTCTGTGATATACTTATTAGATTACAGTAAAATAAAGTTTAATACCCTCAATTAAAGCAAGAGTTTTTTAATAAAAAAATTTAATTTTGTCGGTTTTCAGGACCCTCCGCCCCAGCGAAAATTTTCCACAATACAACATATGGACGTAGATCCGGTGCCGCTGGTGTCTGAGTGGGTTTTCCGAACTTTAGTATTCGGGCATTATAAAATGTGGCCAAACAAACTTATTCTTGCTCTTTTTATTTTTATTATTATTCTTGTTATAGTTCATACATTCTTTGAGTCTAAGGAAAAATTATGTTTCAACAATTTCACTTGAGAATTTGATCGAATGCACGCTATTCGAGTTCGTGTTTCAGGAGTTAGATAAACATTTATGAATAGAGAAAGACTCTTTTTGTATATTATAAAAATTCTGAGTACGGTAACTTTGCCTAAAATCAAACATGGCCCCGTAACTCCCCTAGGCTTGCAACATTATTATGACAAACAACCGAAAGTCAAGGCTCTGTTTAATCGAAACATATTTTTGATTTAAAAAAATGTGTTTTGACAATTTGGTGATTGTTGGCTAGTCCGTCGAATTTATTTAGTTACAACTATTACTGCAAAAAAAATTTCCTCAAATTTCGTGAAAACAATATTTTTTGCGCCGAAAAATTTGATGTTTCAATGCAAATTATGTTTTGGAGATTACCGCTAGTTTTTAGTCACGTGTGGTAAGACGCAGACAAAAAATTTCCTTTAGATCAGATTCAATGAGTAATATTGTTATAGCGTATTTATTAAAAAATCCTCTCATTTCCTGGTGTCCCCGAAATGGCACGATCGCTCCTTTTTCCTGCAAAACCGCGCTCTGTACGGTTATCAATTTTGGTGTCGGGCGGAAAGGTCAGCCCGGGGCCACTTTTCGGCCCTGCAAAATTGTCTCTCCCCGAAAAATTGACCCGATCGGTTTGCAGGGTTTTGAGCCTATTATTTCCGATTATTGATTTTTAAGTTAAATGAGGGTTGAAAAGCCGCTTCGCGACTTTTCAACCCTGGCCCCATCTGATCCCATGATATTCTGCCCTTTGCATAATTCACGCGATTTTCGATGACAAAAATGAGAAACGCTACCTCTCTTCCCTTATATAGTCTGCCGCAACTTCCGGCGTATGCTAATTATTTCCTAACAAAGAAGGTTCTCGGTTTTTCAACAAAAAACTTGATTTTAACGTCGAAAACAGCGAATTTTTGAAAATTTTATGAGTGTGCAGTAATCTCAAGGCCATTACGCATCTAATGAGGTATAAAAAATACCCCTAACTGCGCCCCTTATTGGGATACTACTGGAACATGCTGACGGAAGTTGCATGCAAATGCACACATAGGAACTATTTTTTATATATAGTAGGATTTCGTTGATTTAGAATTCCGGATTTCTAAATAAACTTATTAATGTATATACCTTAATTTAATGATCTTTTTCAGCCAAGCCTCCCCTCACCTGATGCACAGCCAAGACGGAGTGCCATTCAGAAAGACCAGCCGAAGCAGTACGACCATGCAAAAGTAAGGTTTGAAAGGGATTTATTTTATTTTTATTTTCGAAAATCATACCGCCAAAACCGCATTTTGTCGATATTTATGCTGAAATTTTAATGTTTTGGTATTGCCTAGGTGTATAAATATCGACAAAAAATTTCGACTAGTAAAATTTCTACAAATGAAATGTCGACAAAATTAAGTTCCGGCAAATCCAGTTTCGGCAAATCCAGTTTCGACAAAATGAAATTTCGAGAAGCTATTGCGCTTCAAATTCATTTCATTTTTAGTATTTTTTTAGTAAAAAACTTGTTTTACCTCGGAACCAAGAATTTTAGAAGAAAAGGTATTAACACATCTCGATTTCGACAAAAACTACTGTCGGGTTGAGCTAAAAATGTTGCAAAATAGCGGGGATTTTTGTTTAACACAAATTCAATTTCAAAATGTAAATTAAATCTAAAAACTAGCGTTACAAAAAATCTTTGAGAAATTCTGGAAAATGTCTGACATTTTTGTTACGGCCGTAAAGGATTACTGAAGAAAAATGGGATTCCCGCGTCCAAATTTCTCCTCCCCTGCTAAGAGTACAGTACCGTGTATTTCACATGTTCTAAAATACTGATTAATTTGTTGCTTTGCAGGGAAAGCCTCAAATCGCCGTCGAAGAAGGAAAAGGCCGAGATTGTGACGCGGAAAGCCTCGCTGATGGCCACGAAAAGGTTGGTGCGATGGGGATCATGACCTGTTTATTAATTGACGAGCACTTTTTTTGTTATGCTCCTGGGATGAAACATCAAAATTTTGAAGTGGCTAAGGTGAAGGTAGCAATTTTAGATCTAAATTTCTGATAAAATAGAAAAGAAATATTGTCGTCTAATTTGCATAGAACTACCGAATAGATTTTTTTGATTGCACTGTATACAAAGTTTATATTTGTTTATTAAAAAAGCGTATGTTTCTACATTTTCCATTAGGAAAAATCGAAGCTGGCTTTTACTGGACAAATTCCGACGGCTTGTTTTAAATTTTCCTTAATTCCCTTATTAAAAACCCTAAGGTTAAAATAATTTAATAAAATTAAAAATATGGTTAAAAATTAAGCTCCAGTTGCATAATTAATTGTTTCAAATATTTGAGTCACCAAGACCAGCCGCCTCCCTCAATCTGGCCCATTAATTCCGATTTTCCGTTTTATACGGGGGAGACGGTTTATTTTTGCCCCCGCCCACACTTTACGATTTTCGAGGTCTAATTTGAATTCCCAGTAGGGTGCTGTTGGCAATTTCTGAATCCTAATTCTGGCTTTATTTTCGCGAATCATCCGATAGACAGCGCTCTGATTAAAAAAAGATTTTTTGTTTTGTTAATCGATTGTTTAAGAAACATGTGTTTTGCAAAAAATGTGATATACTCTTTTGAGAGGAACAGCTAATTTGACCAACGCCGCTTCTTTTTCCAGACGAATTCTCCAGCTTTGCCCGCGTAAAACACTAGCAATTGAATTTTCGAAAATCGAAAATGAAAAAGTGTTTTATCCAAAAGCATTGCTATTCAAGTTTCTGAAAATGTAGTAGGGGTTTAGCAAGTTTCTTGCGACAAATTCTTAATAGATGAATCGTAATAGTTTTTGATGATTTTTTAGTGTTTTAAAACGATGCGAAATTCAAATTTTTAATTTTTACACGCTACAACAAGTTTCGCCTTACTGTATCCCCTCTTATGGTCGAAGTGGAAATTCGATACATCGGATAGCACATCATGTGCAGAATTTTTCGCTGATGCCGAATGCGTTTTCAAAAGTTGCAGAACTCTTCCGATTAACAAGTTACAAGCGTTTTTAATACCCAAGATACCAAAAATAATTTTGGGGGAAATTAAGCCCTTTTCCGGGATAAAAAAACGTGCTCTTTCGTATGGGCTTGATTTTCCAATATACAGGGTGTCCCAAAAAAACCCCCCCCCCCCTAGCCGGCCGCAGACCTGTCCGATTTTTACGATTTAGGTATCTATCGAAAGCTTTCGGAAAGGCGAGTCCAGCACGTCACGCCGATTTTCATAATTTTGAAATTTTTCTATCAGTTACTAATGTTTTTTGCAAAACGAGCGGATTTTCTGATGTTGTTCTGACCAGGGGGTTTTTAAAAAAAACGCAATTTAAGAATTTTTACGCCTTTCCTGGCAGCCGAACCACAGCTTTTTAAAAGCCGTTTGCCAAAAGACAGCTTGGACAGCGCGTAAACCGCTTAAATTGCGTTTTCAACAAAAAAAAGCCTGTCCTTTTGGTATGAAAAATGCCGAAAATCGAGCAAAAAATTTCGACATTTCGAAAATCGGCGAGACGTGCTGGACTCGCCTTTCCGAGAGCTTTCGATAGATACCTAAATCGTAAAAATCGGACACGTCTGCGGCCGGCTAGGGGGGGGGGGGATTTTTTTTGGGACACCCTGTATAAGATCGAAAATACTAAAAAATCGGTAACTTCATAAGGGTACTGTATCCAAAGCTCAAAATGAACAATACTATGGGCCATCAGAATTTCTTGGAAGGGGTATGACTGGAACACGTTTCAAGAATCATAGTGGTTATCGCATTTTGCTCGACCGTTTCATTTTAGCCTCGGATTACCATATTCGTAATTTTCAATATTTTTAAAATTGTCTATATTCATTTATAGATTTAGAATTGTGGATTCTGGGTGTGATTATCCCGCTTTTCATCCCGTATGATTGCTGTGGAGTTGAAACACGTGTTTTGCCGCCACCCTGCTTTCCGCGTGTGGATTTCGATTTCCCCAGGGGGAGCAACACCGGCCCCCATAAAATGCCGATTTACATGTCTGTCTGTCTATCTGTTTATCTCTCACTCTCTCTCTCTCTCTCTCTCTCTCGCTCTCTCTCCCTCTCCACCGTCTGGATTCAACGCCTGTTTCCCACCGCGTCATACCTTGTGTTTTGCTCCGATGTATTGGCTTGTAGTAGCCACGCGGAATTTCGGGATTACTGTAGCGCTGACTAAAATTCGATGAATTCTCATAAATTAGGGCTCACGTGTTTCATTTTAGGTTAACGAATCTGTGGAACATCTATTTTTGTCGCTGAAGAGAGACCAATTTCTATTTTTGGCTACAGATAAAGTCGGTGACTTGCAAGATTTTGATTAATGAAATCATGTTTCAGCCACATCCTAGATTACGGCACCGCGAATTTCAACAATTAGACAGTTCGCGTCGAGAAAAAATCTGTATGTGCGGGTTTTGGCCGAGCTCTTCTAGTTCTTTTTATAGTGCAAATTTTTGTTTGTACGGGTAGACGAAAAAATAACTTGAAAAGGCAGAATGGTATGTTTCGACCGTTTTCTGGGTTGCTTTACTTCTGTTTTCGATAATTTGGAATTCCTTTCAAGTCCCAAAAAAGTTTCTCGGTTCCTTCTCCCTGCGTTAACTGCGGGAAACGATGCAGAAAAAGTTCTTTCGTAATAGAATTCGGTGAAGATTCCTAGCTGGGCTATTTGTGGCAATAGGAACAGTTCCGAAACACACATTTTCCAGACCCCCAGTTTTCTAGTTTCCGGTCTTTTCTGGCGCCGCATCTGGTCCCGTGTGGAAATGTGTTTTTGGCGGCTTGCCAGCCCCCGTGCGGCTTTATTTTGGCGGCGACGGGATGCAAAATTCGGGGGCAGGGCGCCCAGGCATTCCTCGTTGCTATTTGTCATTTTTCTGCAAAATCGAGGGCGCTGGGGGACGACCCCGCAGCCCTGCAGAATTATTTACGACGTTCCGGGGGGAGCATTTTTTTCTAGAGCTCTCTCCCTCTCTCTCTCTCTCTCTCTCTCTCTCTGTCTCTCTATCTCTCTGTCTCTCTATCTCTCGCCTGGCCACACAATTGTTTTGCCAACGCGCCCCCCCCCCCGCAGCTTTTCCGCGGCCAAATATGTCGCTTAATTTCAACACGGTTTGTTTTTGATGTAAAGCTGCATAACCTTGGACATCGAGTGCATTGTTTAAATATATTAAAAACCCGGGAGCTACCGGATAATTGAAATTATTCAAAACATGTTTTTTTCATCATTGTCACTTAAGATTTTTAGCTTTCGAAACGGTTTTTTCCCATTGCAATATTTAATTCTTTCCTTTATTGAATTTTTATTATTTCTTTCCATATTTTATTTCTTTTAATGGCTTCCTAAATATTGGCTCGAATGCACCTTCACCTATAACCAATTAAGGAATGATGACCCTAGCATTTAAACACGAGGTTTGAGAAATGAAATTTCAAAATATTTGTTCTTTTGTTTGCTTGAGTTTAGCAAGGAACATAGTCAGCAAACCAATTATTAGGAACCCTCAAAACCTCCGTTTCAATATTTTTTACGAAACATGGTTTTCCCTGCAGATTTTTTCTTCTATGCTGAATTTTTGCCTTTCCTCACGGAATTTTCGGAGTCAATCGAAGTTGTTGAAGATGGTTTGTCAATCATCGAATTTAAATACCGTTAACGAAACATAATTTTTCAACTAATTTTTTCGCTCGCTGTTATTTTGAGGTAGATATGACCCAGCAATAATCATGATTTTTTCCCATATATTTGAGTATTCTGGATGAAACATTCTTTTTACCTAGCTGTAAACTTAGGAAATACGATTATCGAATAAGATTGGTTTTTAATAGATATTTTTAGTTTTTTCTGAAACATATTTTTGCAAACAGATTTTTTTCATTTTCTGACTTTCTATTTTCTGAATTCGAAATTTTCGAGCCTCCCAGGCACGCTTTTCCCCTCATGTCAGCAGAAGGCCCCCGGGCATTTCGGGGCCCCGGTCGGGGCAATTTTGCTGGCTGCAGAAACGGCTGCGAAGGGGCAGCAACCCCCGTTCCGGGCGGCGACGAAATATTGACGACCCGCCCGGGTTGCAGCGAGGCCCAACAAAGTCGTCTGGCTTTTCTCTCTCTCTCTCTCTCTCTCTCTCTCTCTCTCTCTCTCTCTCCCTCTCTCTGGCCAGGGCGACCTCTTCCGATCTACTCAGATTCGGAGCAGTCTACACGGCCGCCTCACAACAAATTCCGGACTGACTGGGCTTTTTTGGAACTTGGGAACTGTATAACAACTGTTATAATAATCATTATCGTCATTTTCATTATTATTCATTATTTCATCAATTTTAGTTTTTAAGATAACCCGAAACTCATATTTTGTTGAGCCGAATCGTGTGAAATTTGTGTGTTCCGATGTTAATACTAGAGCCAATACTAGTAATTTAATACAATTTGATCCTTGTTGCATGACCAAATGTGAGAGTTTTAATAGCCCAGAAACTCCATAAAAACGTTACGTTTAAAATTGCTCAAAATTATTTTCTTTGATAGGCTCAAGCGAACAAAAATATTTCAAGGTAGGCCCCAAACAAACTAATCTGATGGTGTGTAATTCGTTAATAAACGTTAATATTTATTAAATTCGGAATTAAGTAAAAAATATCTAAAATATTTTCTTACCAGAGCTTGTTATAATTATTACATTTAACCGAAAATAGCAATGATTGAATTCGTTACTAAAGCTTTGCAGGTAAAAAAACAAAAAAAACACGCAAAAGTGGCTCTTCAAAAAAATGTTTTATCTCAAAGCCCTGATGACTTGGCTTAACGATTTTTAGTGGAGTCCCGCAAGCTTTGCATTAAATTGTTTTTATTAAAATTCAATTTCTGTAGTCTTTTATATTTTTGGAAACTGACGAATTTTCC